GAATGCCGCACCCGACCCCCAGCCCCTACCTTCCTGTCTCAGAAGCAACTTTTCTTACCAGCTTATGCATTCTTCCAGAAAGTCTACGCATAAATAAGTACTACGTATATAACCTTGAAAAATACAGTGTATCACCTACTATATGCATAGTCCCACTCCGCACTTATTTCCCTTAATACACTAGGGATGGTGTGACTTTTTATATTGGAAATTGACCATAAGCTTGATTTTTGAAATTTGGTAATATCTGACTGAGGAAATAAAATCAAAAGTACCCGCTTAAATGGGGGAAACCATTTTCCCCACATATCCAATTAACCTCAGAAGTCTTGTAGGAATTGGCGGGGGAGGTGGCAAGGCTGCAAAGATTTGTCACACCTCTTCTGAGTAGAGTTCACTGTCTGAGGAAAATTTCCAGTTTCCAAGGTCCAAGACGGTCAAGCAGGCAATCCACAATGAGCTTACTCCAGAGGAGAGATCATCCTTGTTCCCCAAAATCCAGCAGTGTGGCTGGGACAAGAGTCCTGGCTGGGTTGGGGAGGGAAGGAAAGTAGACCAGACACGAAGTGAGCATGTCTGTGGCTCTGACTTGTCCTGCCACTCTGGGGCCTCCTTGGTGACAAGACATTACTCTGTCCCTGCACAGAGCAGGTTACTGGAGCCATGGGCATCTACCAGCTCTCTTTCTAGGCAAATTCTGCTGGGCAAGAGGGGACACGGTGGGGCTTCTTCTCACTGGTCACAGCGTAATGGAGCTGCAGACAGCCTCCCGTCCTCCTGGGTCACCTGACCTGGATGGAGCTCCTATGGCTTTTTGGTGGAGTGTACCCTGGTCATATGCATTCTTTCAGCTTTGGTTTTGTCCAGAGGATTTGAAACTTGTGTGCACCGGAATCCCAGGGGACCTGTCACCATACTGATGCCCAGGCCCCAGCCCCTCAGGGTCTGTCCCAGGAGGTCTGGGACAGAGCCCAGGAATCTGCATTTTAACCAGCTCCTGGGTGACTGAGGACCAGATTTTGAGCTCATTCTCCTAGCCCTCCTTAACTGAGAAGAGATATAGCATGGTGTAGGGGACAGGCTCACTTTGGAGCCATACTCTGCACCACCTGCTAGCTGTGAGACATTGAGCAGGTCACTTACCTTTAGTTTCCTTATGTGTAAAATGGGGATAATAAGAGAATCGATCTCATAGGTGAAGTTTAAATAAGATAATGCATGTAAAACAACAACTATGCGCCTGACACCCAGTAAGCCCTCCACAATTGGAGGCTGTATTTTTGTTAACAGGACTTCCTCTGTCAAAGGGCAGGCCGCTCTAAATGTTTGGGTATATATGGCTCTCATTTAATCATTTAGAATGAATTTTGCCATTCATTTTTTTATCATTCGCCACAGTAAGTGTTTTGGCAAGTGAGCCTTGAGACATGGAGATGCCCCTATTCCAGTCCTTATTATCTTCTCTTCCTCATCGGCACCTTTTTCCTGCCTCAAAAACAGAAATACTTCTTTGGTGCTCTTCACCCTGTCCCTGTGGGTGGGAGTGCGGGTGAAGGGAGCGCCTCCAGTTCAGCAGCCCTGGTTCCTGTCTCTCCCTTGGGTTGAGAAGTATAAAGGGCAGTTGCCAAACCAGGAAAGGAAGCATGACAAACTGGAGGCCACATTCCTCTATCCTCCTGGAGAGAGGAAGGCATCCTGCCCAGGCGGGTGTGTGGGAGAGCAGAGCCACTTAGAGGGGTTCACGCCTGCATCAGCTGCCGTGTCTCCCCACCAGAGCTGCCACCCAAATTGACCTGAAGGCAGAGGCCACAATGAGCCAGCATTCCCATGTCGCTTACCCACAGGTCACATCTTGAAGGAGTGGGTAACCCTGTGCCACAGGACTCTGGCCCCAGTAGCTCCAAGCTTTAGGATTCAGGGAAGCTACTGAAATTAGGTAAAACTAAGGGAATCTCAAGGAAACAAGGATGTGTGCACGCACACACACACACACACACGCACGCACGCACGCACGCACACACACGCACACGCACACACACACACGCTCAGTTCTTCAGAGAAAATGGGTTGGGAACTAATGAGTGCCTTGAATGGAACACTAGCTGAATAATTTCTTGGTTCACCAATTCTCCATGTAGATGAGACAAAGCTGCAGACAGATGCCAGGCTTCACAGAGCCACGGGCAAAGGGGGAAGCCCTAGTCCAAGTCGCAGACTCTTGCTTGATGATAGCAGCAGCTTCCTCAGTAGTCCCACCACTTCCACCCTTGCCCCCTACAATCTGTTCTCTTCCCAACAACTAGGGTGTGCGTCCTAGAATGCAAACCTCATCCTATCTTCCCCTCTCCCCACCTCGCCTCAAACCCTCAAGTCTCCCCATTTCTCTCTGATTAAAGGCCCAAGTCCTTACCATGGCTTACAAAGCCCTGTATCTCTTGGCCTTCACTTACCTTTCCAACTCCACTTTCAATCATCTGTATACTGTAGCCAAACAATTTAGGTCCCCCATTCTTCATGCTCTCCCTAGCCTCTGGGCCTTTTCATGTGCTGTTCCCCCATCCTAGATTGCTCTTCTCGGCCATTCACTCAGCAACCTTCTCATTCCTCACCATTCAGCTTAAAACTCACTCAGTCTGGGAGGCCTTCTCTGGCCAGCTCCCCCCAGTCTACTTTGGGACCATCAGTTACATCTTCCCACAGCGTCCTTATGGCTCCTTTCTAACACTCGTCCATGTGTAATTAATTGTCCGATGTCTGTTTCCCATCCCCAATCTATGCCCGCTATAAGAGCAGAGCTGTGTCTTCTCAGTCACTGTTCAATAAACTTTTGTGGAATTAAACTCAGGGGCACTACTGGGCCATCTCAGGGTAGATGGCAATACCTTTACAGAATTATCCTTAATTTTTTAAACAAATAAAGACAATATTTGAGCAAAAGGTAGTAGACATTGGGTAGTAGGATTGTTGTAACTTTTCTTTTAGAAACCCTTCTAGATGGAAACACCTAATTTACAAAGTTAGGGAGTGGTTTTTGCTGGTATCACCTGGGGATTAAAATATTAACAGTGCCCTCTAGTGTATTAAAGTTTCTCAAAGAACATTTGAAGAATATAAAATGGAATGACAATAGGACACAAGAATTAAAACCTTAAAATCCAGCTAAAGGTAAACCTCACTGTGGTTTCTTGAACTCGACCTCCACCCTCCTGCCTCAGGCCTTTGCACATGCTGTACCCTTTGCCTAAAGCACCGCTTCCGTCTTTGCCTGACTTCTTTGCAAGCACACAGTCTCTCTCTCCATAGGTCTAAGGCTTTCATGGCCGTCCAGACTCCATGCAAATCTCCCTTCCTCTAAGACAGATCACACACACACACACACACACACACACACACACACACACACTCACACAGGCCTTTCCCAAGATTCTAGCCTCCTGGCATATATACCTCAAGTGGCCCAGGTTCCGGCTGATTAGAGCAAGCCCATGTTCTTACCTGATATCAGTTTCCTGATGGCAGGAGAAATTATTTTAGCCATTTGCAGAAACTCTTGCTGACTCTCTCTTCTCTGAGAAACTCTTTTACTGCCTCCATCAAATACCCTGGAAGTTTCATTGAATTTTTCCAACATATATTTTTTTGAGATTCCTGCTCACTTGAGATATTTTAATAGTGTCATAGAGGTTAGAGCTGAAGATATCTTTAAAGATAATAATACAATAATAGTAATAATAATAACAATAATAATAACTGCCATTTGCCAAGGCTTGCTCTCTGCCAGGCTGTGTTCTAAGAAGTCATGGTATATACTATCTCACTAAATTCCA